GTGCCCCGCTGGACAGTGAGTGGGGCGCGGGGGGCGGGTCAGAGGTCAGGCCCGCCCTGTGGCCGCGTGGGGAGCTGGGCAGGGCTCTTTCTAAGCCGCGGGATGTCCGCTGGGATTCGTGGCTTTTCCACGCGTTTGCCCTGGTCGGTCGCTGCGTTAATTATACGTAAAAACTAAGAAAGCTGAATGCGACAGAGGGCGGTCCAAGGAGGAAAGCCAGGTGGCTGTCGCCGCCCCCACGAGGAAGCAGCACGGGTCCTCCTGGCTGGGAGCAGGCTGGGGGGGTCTCCCTCCGGGCAGGCAGCCGCCCCTGCCCGTGAGTAGTAGGGCCGGAGCAGTAGGGCGCCGGAGAGCCCGACCAGGTCAGCCGCGGTCCTCGGCGGCGCTAAGGGCTCCGGAGCAGCCTCATCTCGCTGACCCTGAGCAGTCACCTGCCGGACTGTACTGGTTTCTGCTGTTGCCATGACACGTCACTGCTGATTTCGTGGCTTAAAACTGCGTGCGTTTATTGTTTTACGGGTCTGCCGGTTAGCAGCCCAGCTCAAGCCCCCCGGGCTAATCGAGGTGTCGGTGGGGCTGTGTCCCTTTCTGGAGCAGGCCCTGGGGGAGGCTGCGGGATTCCCTCCTGTCCCCTCTGGCCCCGGGAGTTCCCCTTCCTTGTCCTCACACCGGCAGCCCCTCAGCCCTCTGCTTCCCGGCTGTCCCCCATGTCACACCTGCTCTGGGTGGCCACGGCCAGGACGTTCTCTCAGTTTAAGCTATGATGACCCCAGGCCCACCTGGACAGTGGGGTGGTCCAAGGTAATCCCCCATCTCAAGGTCCTTACCCTTCATCACACCCGCAAAGTCCCATTTGCCATGTGCAGGGACATCTCCCCACATTGCAGAGATTAGAGCGTGGACATCTTTGGGGACCGTTATTCTATGTGCCACGGGACCCCTCCAGGGGTGAAATGCCACCCACGTGAACGTCCTCAGTCACTCTGGGAGTATTCCCCGGATGCCATGGTGGTGACGGCTTCTCTTCGGGCGCTGGGGACACAGGACGCAATGCACGGGCAGGGCTGCCCCCCACGGAGCTCACAGCCACGTGCAACGCGTGCTCACGTCTGACTCAGAGGGGAGGGAGGATGAGAAAGCCTTGTTTTAATACGTAACGTCCAGCATTTTCTGTACCCAGACCTGAGCATCGTCACTGCTCTGTGTGACGGGGAAAAGGGGGCCACAGGTCATTCAAACTAAACGCTGACGTGTGCCCCTCACCCCGCGGTCCCAGTGAGTGCGTCGTCCTGTCCGCGGCCACGCACAGTGTGCCCGCGAGGGCGGGGCTTGGGGGTCCGGAATGAGGCAGCCCAGTGGCTGCGCCCTCGGCTCTGCAGTCCCGTCCCTTCCCCTCCATGGTGGCCCTGCTAGTGCACAGGGCGGCCAGCGAGATGACACGCGTGCCGCAGGCTCCTCGGGTCCCTGACGGAGGCACCAGCAGTGTTAGCAAAAGCTCCGTCCAGAACGACACCTGCTCGTGAGAGGTGTGGGGTTTCTCGCCAAAAAGCAGAAAACCTGGCCTATTTTCTAAGCTTCTCGAGGCGAAACGAGGCTGGTACCTGGAGGGGTGAGCAGCAAACAGGACACCTGATCGTGGAGCAGAGGGACGGTGTTGGGCAGCGGCGGCCGTGACGCGGGGTTGGGTGTGAGTCACGCTGGGCGGTGTCGGGGCCGCGCTTTGCAGGAGAAGTGACTCGGGTCATGGCGACTGCCAAACAGAAGCCAGGACTCCTTACGGGTGCGGCGGGGGGAGGCAGGGGGCCCAGGCCGTGGGTGCTTCGGCGATAAGTATTCATTCGAAGGGAGGAAGCCTGACCTGTAAATAAAAATCCGTGGCTGATGTTGAGAAATTGTGAAGAATTGGCTTCTGCGACCTATTCTTCACCCTAAACTGGTCTTCAGATATAAACACCGTGCGGCACGTCTAATGCGGGGCGCGTGAGTACGTGCCGGGCTTGATCGAACCGCCGCCCTTTGACCCCTGGCAGAAAGCCCGTTTGCCGGGGACATCGTCTCCCCCAGCGAGGTCAGCTTCACCAACCTGCAGCCCAACCACACGGCCGTGTACCAGTGCGAAGCCGCGAACGTGCACGGGACCATCCTGGCCAGCGCCAACGTCGACGTTGTAGGTGAGTGCCCACGTGTCCGGCGGCGGCGTCCGGGGCCACGCTCACGGCCACGCCGAGCCTGGCACAGGAAGCACGGGGAGACTCGGGGCGCGTTCACCTTACGCTCGGGCCTGGGACTCTGTACTGAACCTGACCTTTCGAGAACGCGCCGGCCGTGGCTGCTTTTCCAAGCGAGGACCGTGACTTCAGCTCCTTCCCATCCCCTTGACATTAACCTGGATGGGCGCGGGCTGTTTCGCGTGGCACGTGTTGTTTCGTACATGAAAAGTTTAGAGCTGTGACTTCCTAACAGATGTCCGTCCGCTGATACAGACGGAGGATGACGTGGCGTATGCCGCCGTGGCCGGGGCCAGCGTGTCACTGCACTGCAAGTTCTTCGCCTCGCCCGAGGCCACCGTGTCCTGGTAAGCCGGAAGGGTCTTCGTAAGAGGGCGTCCGTGCAGAAGGCCCCCCGTTTCCTCGTCCGTCCTTCGAGGGGCTGCACGGGCTCCGTGGGCTCCGTGGACCCACCGCCTCCGAGGACCGAGGAGCAGAGCCACCCGCCTGCCCCTCCCGGGCCCGCGGGGCTGTGGGTTCTGTCGCGTGAGGGCACGCGCACAGCCGTTCCTGCTCACGGGGGAGGCCGAGCGGCGAAGGGATCGTGACGGCGAGTTTACAGACGGAGCCGGCCTTTCACGGCGGGACTGTCGAAGGTCACGTGTGGTCTTATCGTGGTCCTTTGGGGTGGCGTCCAGGTAGTCCCTAAGTCTGCGTTTCATTCCATTCACAGACGTGAAAACCGCCCAACACGTGTTTTCAATTTCGTTTCCTTCTATTGACGGTGCGGGAAGCCCGGACACGTCGTCGTGGGGGTCTGCCACGCTTGTCCCTTCACTGGACACGCGTGGGGTAACTGTCCCTCGGTAATTCTGCCGCCACCTGCAGGGCTAGGGCCGGGGCGCGAGCCAGGCAGGGTCACACAAGCCCAGCGTCGGCTCCCGCCCGTCGAAGATTTGGACGTGTTGTTCACCATGGACTTTAGTGCAGTATTTTTCATTTTTTAAAATGCGCTATTAAAATATGATTTCTCTTGGTTACTGAGATTTTTTGGCACCTCCCCTAACCCATTTCCCTTTGGCCCTGAGAATAATTGCTGGTGGCGTTTGCGGCTGCAGCGTTCACCCCAAGATAACTCAGGGACCGCGGTGCCACCCTCACCCCAAAGTCTGCCACGAAGCGTCTCGCCCGCACTGCTATTCCCACCTTGCTCTAGTGTATGGATAGTCTTTGGAGACAGATGACGTCATTCCCTGGAGAGCGTTCTGTTTTTAGTGGTGGCATTTCTATTTACAAAACATAGTAATTCTCCATCACCGAAAATGCCAAGTCTTAGAAAACGTGGCATTCCTACGCATGACGTTACGTGAACACCGGCAGCGAGCTGAAACTCTTCTTTCTAGACGGGAGAAGGGTGACATTTTGCCCCTGAGACACAGAACCACCTCGCTGGCCTCAGTGCCGTGTGGGCAGCGGCCGGAGTCTGCCCTGGGGAATTTCAGCTCCCACAGCCGCTGGCCCCGAAGGGTGCGGTGACTCCAGCTGTGGCAGCAGGTGCTTGGGAGAAGGATAAATGCAGAAGAATGTGACTCGGGGCCGGTCAGGGCAGACACGGCCACGTCCCCAGCACGGGAGGACGTCCCGGCCCCTGGCCCCTGGCATTCCGAATGGCCCGTCCTCCCGGGACAGCAGGGGTCGGAGGTCCCGGCTCCCCACGGATGCCCGGATTGGTCCTCAGCAGAAGGTTCGCCATCGATAAGCCAGGTGTTTGTTAAAGCTCTGAGGACAGGTGCAGAAACGCACTGATGGCCGTGAGGAGCACAGCGGGCTCGGGCAGCTGGGGCGGGCGAGGCGGGCGAGGAGGGCGAGGCACACGCCTGTGACCCGCCTGGGGAGCTGCGGGCCCCTGGGCCCTGTGCGAGGTCTCTAAGCTCCTGGGGGGCGTAAGCCCGAGCGACAGCGGCCGTGTCCCACCCGCGCCCACGCAGACCTCTGCTCCCCCCACAGGCAGAAGGCGGACGAGGCGCAGCCTCTGGAGGGCGGCCGGTACCGCACCCACAGGAACGGCACCCTGCAGATCAGCGCGACCTCACCGGACGACGCCGGCGCCTACTCGTGCTGGGTCGAGAACGCCAAAGGGAAAACCGCGGTCACCGCCAGCCTGGACGTCCGAAGTAATTCGCCCGCGTTGCTGCTTCACGGGGCCCTCGTCCCGCTAGACGACGCGCGGGGGACCCTCCTCCGCCCCCGGCGTGTCCCCTGCGGGTGCGGGGCTGCGTCCCCGAGTGTGGCCTGGCGCAGTTTCACGAGGACGCGGGGCGGTCTGGGGGGCCGGCGGGGTCTGAGAATGCCCATGTGGGTATTTCCGTGACTGCATTTTATTACAATGACCAATGCAAGGGAACGTCACCGGTCACCACCCTCTGAGCTGAAAAATTCCCAAGGAGCTTGCAGGCGCTGAGCTCGCCCGGGCGTGGCAGGGTGGCCGGCGGGGCCTCCGTCCTCGGAATCGGGCACGGCTCGGTGCCTTGTCCCTCTTCGGAACAGTCCCGGGAAGCCGCGAATCGTCTCCCGGGCTTCGCTGAAGTCCCGGTTTAGACCTCGCTCTGAGTCCTCTGCAGGGAAGCAGCAGGGGGGCCGCGGCCTGGCGGGGGTCGGGTCCCCGTGTCACGGCGGCGGCTCACGTCCGCATCCGCTCGGGCCCCGTCTCCACCGAGGTCTTCACACCCGCCCCTCCTCCTCCCTTCCTCCCGCCCCGTGTTGTCCGTGGTGTCCGCTTCTTCCCGTACCCCACGCCATCCGGCACGCCGCCCCCGTGGCTGCACCTCTAAAGCACCGCGTGCTCCCCCCGACGCCTGCTTCTCCCCCGCCTTTTTAAGTGTCGCGTGCGGTTTAAACAAGGCCCTTTCGAAGTCCGCGGGGTGATTCTCTTACACTCCAGGGCCAGCCTACCTCAGAGCGGAGCAGCTCAGCCCGGCTCGGAGCCCGCAAGGGGAGGGCGGGAGCCCAGCGAGTCTCCTGGTAACTAACGTCCCCTCCAGCGCCCCCCGTGGCCCGGAAGCCGCTAGTCTCCAAGATGCTCGAGTTCATGAGCCTGGTCAAGCCCTGTCCGCTGTAACGTCCACTTTACGTGTAG